CACTAAGACTTTCCAACAACATGCAACGAGTTTGGAAAATGTCAAGCGTACGTTTAGGAAAGAGGAAATCATTGATCAAGCAATCCATCAGTTTACATATGATTTATGTAAGAGGGCATTTATCTCCAATGCAGGCTTCCATAGCCACAAGAAGAATCATATTGCTGGATCTTTCCCAAATTATGACCACTACTAAATAGCTGGAAATAGCTTAACCTGTAGAGTGTGTTAGAAAACCTACAGAAAACCGAGTTAGATAGATAGATAGATAGATAGGGAAGGGAGAGAGAGAGAGAGACAGAGAGAGGGAGGGAGAGAAATAGAGAGAGAGGGGGAGATTGAGGGAGACAGAAAATCCATCCTTAGTGGGAATCTGCTGCTTGTAATCCAAATAAGGTGTAACGTACAATTCATGATGATATTAAAATCTCCCAAGAACATGCAATCAGTTTGGAAAATGTCAAGCGCGCAACTAGGAAAGGATTTGATCTAGTAATCCATCAACTTATATATGATGAATGTGTCAGTGTGTGTCTTTCTAATACCATCCTCGTTAACTAGAAGACAGGTAATGTTGGTAGACATTTCATAAATTATTATTTTTTTTATAGGCGATTATACTACCAAGAAGGGGCTATTGCAGTGAAAGAGAATGAAAAGAATTTTAGAAGGAATTAGAAACCTAATCCTTAACAAGAAACAAGGGAAAAACCTTTACTCCTGTTCAAAAGACCAGGGAGGAGTGTGCGACTGGAGAACCAGAAAACCCGAAGAAACTGCCCCGGTCTCATACGTCACATGAAAACCCATGAACACGTTCAACTGACTTTACAAAACAGTCCAGTTTTCCATATCTGCAATAAGCATTGTAAATAACTTGCAGGCGTCAAGGACAATTGTTGTTATCAGAAGAACCAAAGACATTACTCAAAACCGTCAACGATGGTCATATCTGTTTAACGAGCCGACAGCCATTATATATATATGTATGTATTTTGGAATAACTTAACATGCTGGGGATGGGTGGCTGTTACAGAAAACCTCCAGAAACCGCCCCGATCTCATTCGTCATAGGAAAACCCACGAGAAATCCGAACAGAATTTGCAAAGACACTGTACACGATAACTTAGTTTGCAATGTTTTCAATAAGCATTGGAAACCACTTGATAACTTCAAGAGCCATTGTCGTTCTCACAAGAATAAAAACATTGATCAAATTTGTCAACGGTGGTCATACTCATTTCACGAATCAACAGCCATCATGTATGGAGAGAAGTCATTATTCAGTACGTGTTATACAGCATTTCTACATGCAGTGAGTGGGGAAAAGAATGTGCTTCAGTTGGCGGACTAAAACATCATAAGAAAGTTCACCAATATATTACTGTAACACCTACTGTAATAAGTACGTCAATGTTACCACATCTACGCAAGAGAATGTGAGACTGGAAATCCATATCCACGCTGGCTATATTTGAGGATCAATCAAGCCATGGCATTATTCGAAATCGAGTTGCAGCAATTATGCATGTATAATCCAGATTTTTTCACAGAAAATCTTTTAAGTATTTGTAGTTATCAGTATATAATCAAGAGAAAGAGAGAGAGAGAGAGAGAGAGAGAGAGAGAGAGAGAGAGAGAGAGAGAAAGAAACATAGAACTTCAAATACATCAATCTTCAATGTACCGTGAAATAACATTTTAATGTTAACAAATTTATTGAGAACTGAAAAAAAAAAAAATTAAAATCTTATAACATATGCAAGAATTAAATTATTAGATTGAATGTTCTGATCTGGGTCATGGGTCAAATACCGTTATTCAAAGAAAACCGCCAGCTTAAAAAAATAAATAAATAAATGTATGCGCACCCTTCCCCCTCCAGTTTTGGTTGCAATATAATTTAAGGTTAGGATTATCGGAACGAACTCGAATCGGCTGCGGTAGCAACAATAACACGTTCAGCGTTCTTATCAGGAGAGACGCGCCATTCGTCCGGAAGAGATTATCTTATTTCAATCACGTGATGTCTCCACCCCCAATCCCCAGAGGGTTTATCTGGTGTGAATACATAACAATTTCAGTCGATTCGGGGTGGTCGCTTTGGTCTGTCTTTACTGCATTTGCCATTTCAGTGCAGAAAAATGTAATTGAGTATTGTATATTATTATTTAGCAATTGAAATTCTTACTCATCGCGAAAAAATATCACATCATGCGAATTCTTTTGCATCCGTTAGATAACAGCAACGTTTCTTTTATACTGCGTGACTTTAGTTGCCTAGATTGATGCAAAACACAAGTTTATTTGATAAAATACACTGATGTTTAAAGAATTTATAACTTTCGAGATTTAATTAATTTATTAACAAAGATGACCATTGCTAGAGACGTCAAATCTTTATCCAAAGTAACTTATATGGGTTATTGATCTTTTATTTTTGTTTATTATAAAAATATCAGTTTTGAATTCAGTTTTAAAAAATGGTTGGTAAAATAGTTTTTATTGCTATGTTATATAAACTAAGTCCATTTCTGTACAAATAATTCATTTTACAAATGTAATTATGAAATGAATTACTTGAATAATTTATAAAATAAAATAAAACAGTATTATTAGAATATAAAAGTAATGCTTAAAGCTGAAGAAATATTAAAAATAATTTTTTAAAAACTCTGATAGGTCTAGTTTCAAAAATAAAGTTTTGTTAAGCGGGTTATCTAATGCCAAAATCAAAATCTAAATATTTTGTACCTAATTTTATTTTATTTTTTTAGATAATACTTTATTGATAGAATTCATACTATTTAACCCATAGTTGGAAGGGGAAGAGGTGGATTCATACTTTTCCCAATGGTATTTGCTCATGACTAAATATAACGAACCCAACGGCAATAATGGAAGACCTAATAATAAAAAGTAAAATCCAACATTAACTACGAACATTGCCACAATGTACTGACTATGTTTGGAAAATAAAACATTCCCATAATTTCCGACACATACATAAGAAAAAACACACATTCAGTTAAAAATAAAAAAATAAAAATCGTCTTTGTTAATGGCTAAAAGTATAGCCGAAAGCGCTCTGATATGTAGAAATTTTGGACAGTTGTTACACACTTTGTGTTCAGAAAAGAAAACATTTGTACAAACTCAATAAAAATTAAATAAAAAGCTTAATCGCACTACCTTCTAAGTCGTCTTTAATGAAACATGTATAAATGAGGGATTGTTGTCCAAATATACACTATATATATATATATATATATATATATATATATATATATATTCAGATAGAATTTTGTATATATAATCATCATATTTGAAATGCTAACAAACTGGGGCAGTCATTATATATATATATATATATATATATATATATATATATTACATACATAAAAAATGTACGGCCCCACGCCTAAGTCTGAAAAGAAATGCGAACGAACATACGCCTATACATATAGACAGACATAGGCTTCATTTTATGGGTGCATTTTCTACTGAATACCCTCAACTATTATAGCAATGCTTATAGTTTTCTATAAAAATAAAGTTGGACTAATTATTTGTCCTCTCTGCTAACAAAGTGTAACTTCTTTAAGGGTGTAACATTATGTTTCTGATTTATTCATTGCAGACATTTTATAACATGGAATACAACGTCATTAATTTTTACGGTCTTTGGCGGTTTTAAAGTATGACCGTAAGATTTTCTTGAAGCGCAAAAAACATAAAAACTGTCTTGTTTTGTTAGAGCTTTTTAAAGTAAAATATTATTAATTGATATTTTTATAAATGTTATTTTATAAATTTTAACGAAAGCTTTCTAATTCTGTTTTTACGATCATGCTTTTTTATTAATATTGTAAAAAGTTAAGTTTTGTTTCTAGCAACAATGAACGTAAAACTGTTTGCCCATCAATATCAAGGACAGCTTGAGTCTTAATTTAAATTAAAGATAACTTCAAAGTTTTTCTTTCTCTGAATAATAATTAACATTAGATACTTCCACGAAAACGCTAAAAATCAGCATACTGTAATGAAAACATGCTCCAAACATAATGAAACAAAATATTTATGGTATTATTAAGAGGAATGATTAGGGCATATTTTAATGTCTAATTAAATTTTTTCCTTCTTTTTAGAACATTCGAAATTTTGATTAAAAATCTTGTTTTTCTTGCATCAGTGGGTGTACTAACTTTCCGCATAGCAAATTGTAACCTCTTTCTTGCGGCGACAGACATTAATTTGGAAATTCTTGTAAAATTCAAATATTTATCGGATTTTAGTGAAATGAATAAACTTATTTTTGAAAGTAAAAATATTTTTTTTTACACATGTTACTACTAAAGTACTTAATTTTATGAAACTTGAGAAATTCAATGTAATAATTCTTAGTGACTATATTAGTTAAAAGCAGAATTCATTGAAGAATTTAAATCACCGTTTGTTTTTTTAAACTTGGAGCCCGTCTTAGCAAAAATCTGTTTTGAATGGAAAAATATAAAACACAATAGAACTAAAACATTATTTAATTAGAGAAGCTTTTAATTGTTTCTATGAACAATATATATTAAAGACAATATTGTCTTTCCTTTCGAGGCCTGCAATATTTTGCCTTGGTAGGTCAACAAAGTGAAAGTAACGGGAAGCTATTAGACTATCGTTACCAAGGACAATCTCAAGTAACAAAATGGCGTTGCTACAACGTTACATAGAAGTTACAAAAACGTTTTTTTCTCTCACCACAATGTGCCCACAACATTACCTTGTAATGTAGCGGACTTAGATTTTGAAGGTTTGGAAAATGTCAAGCATACTGTGAGAATCAAGCAATCCATCAATTTACATGTGATGTATGTAAGAGAGCAAGTATCTCTAATGCAGGCTTCATTAGCCAGAAGGAGAGTCATATTAGTAGACCTTTCCCAAAATTATGGTCACTATGAAAGAGCTGAGAATAGCTTAACCTGCCTGGTGTGTGTGTGAAAAGCTAGAGAAACAGAGGGGAGAGAGGGAGAGAGAGAGAGGGATAAAGAAAGAGAGGGGGAAAGAGAGAGAAGGGGTGGGAAAGAGACGTGGTAGAGGATAGATATATAGAAAGGGAGGGATATAGAGAAATGGAGAGGTAGAAAGAGAGGAACAGAGAGAGAGAAAGAGAGAGATGGGGAGAGAGAGGGATAAAGAAAGAGTGGGAAAAAGAGAGAGAAGGGGTGGGAGAGAGAGGGTAGGAGAGAGAGAGGAATAGAGAAAGACAGGGGAAAGAGAGAAAGAGAGGAAGAGAGAAATGGAGAGTTAATAAGAAGAAAAGAAAGAGAAGAAGAAGGAGAGAGAAAAAGAAGAAGAAAGAGAATTTTTTCAAAGAAGATTGGTGGAGAGAGAAGGAGTAGGGTAGTGAGATAGACAGAAAATCCTGAGTGGGAAACCGCTGCTTGTAATCGATATAATTGGAAGTGTACAATTCATTAACGCACGAAGATCTTCCAAGAACATGAAACTACCAAAATGTATTCTATAAATAGATTCTGGAGAGATCAAAGAGAACATACAACTTGGGATTCGGGCACTGCAAGCCCCCAAGAAAATTCTAAAATTTGGCCAATTTTAAAATTTGGCCAATTTTAAAATTTGACCAATGAAATAAGTATTAAGGCCAACATTAGCCACTTGAAAAAAGTTGCTTTAGGGTCCCCTTTGGGAAAAGGGGCATTGAAGCCTTTATTAGTTTCCTAGTAGATCCATTACTGCTTGCAACATTAAAATACGATGCTTTGGTTGTAACGCTTCGTGTAACCCTCAACCAAAATACAATGAATTTGCCACGTTGTATGAACATTTTGTGTTAGCTAGGATCATGGCAATATAACTTTTAAAGATATTAAAAAAAGGAAGCTGTGGAGTGTCATGATCAATGATATAGCAGTAATACCAAGGTTATGACTAGCCTATTAATTATTCTAAGTAACTAAGAGAATGTAATTGCTGTTTTCTTCAATATCTACGATTTGATACTGGTGTTAAAATTCAAAATTTATGAAAATGAAATCAACGAATAAATTAAGGCAGTTGATGTACGTAAGTTTTGTGTAGATGAAATTCAAATTCTGTGTACTCGAAATTCAAGTTTTGTGTAGTTGAAATTCAAATTCTGTGTACTCGAAATTCAAGTTTTGTGTAGTTGAAATTCCAATTCTGTGTACTCGAAATTCAAGTTTTGTGTAGTTGAAATTCAAATTCTGTGTACTCGAAATTCAAGTTTTGTGTAGTTGAAATTCCAATTCTGTGTACTCGAAATTCAAGTTTTGTGTAGTTGAAATTCAAATTCTGTGTACTCAAAATTCAAGTTTTTGTAGTTGAAATTCAAATTCTGTGTACTCAAGTTTTGTGTAGTTGAAATTCAAATTTGTGTACCTGAAATTCAAGTTTTGTGTAGTTGAAATTCCAATTCTGTGTACTGAAATTCAAGTTTTGTAGTTGAAATTCAAATTCTGTGTATATCGAAATTTAAGTTTTGACTTGAAATTCAAATTCTGTGTACTGAAATTCAAGTTTTGTGTAGTTGAAATTCAAATTTTGTGTACTTGAAATTCAAGTTTTGTGTAGTTGAAATTCAAATTCTGTGTACTCGAAATTCAAGTTTTGTGTAGTTGAAATTCAAATTCTGTGTACTTGAAATTCAAGTTCTGCGTATTTAAAAAACAAATTTTGTATACTCAAAATTCAAGCTTTGCATATTGTAAAGCCAAGTTATGTGTACTCAAAATTGAGGTATTATGTACTCGAAATTCAAGGCTTGTGTACTTGAAATTAAAATTTCGTGTACTCGAAATTCAAGTATTCCGTATTCTATAGCCAATCTTTGTGTACTAGAAATTCAAGTTTTATGTACTAGAAATTCAATCACGAGGCCTAAGAGAGGAAGAGGAGATGTTGAGACAAGGTATAGAAAGGAAGAAAAAGGAATGGGAGAGTGAAGGAGAATTGTGGAGAGAGAAGGAGAGAAATTATAATGATTTTATATTTCAATGTATTAAAACAATGGTTTTTTGATAATACTTTTACTTGTGTAAAATAGGCTTTCAATCACATAAAAGAAACTTTATATCATGACAAATAATGAAACTGATATGAAAATAAAGCTCTCTTATGTCTCGTGATTGAATTTCTAATACATAAAACTTGAATTTGTTTATGCTTGTATCCCATTCCCAAGCTGCTCCATTTTATAGATGCTTAATAGGAGTAGGTAGTCCCTTCTACCGCCCGGTCAACACTCCTCCCCCTTCTATTGGACATGAGTAGAGGCTTACACCTTGTTTCTTGTCTAGGATTGGGTTCCCGGTACTGTCTTCTCTCTCCGGCCTCTGTATTAGTGCAGGTCTGTTTCTCCCGTGATGCGTGCAGTCTGTGGCAACATCTCTTCATTCTGAGGGTACAACGGCTGACAGTTCTCTGGTTGTGTTTCCGACTGGTAGTTAGGAGCCCTAACTCTTGCGTAGCGTCTTGAGCGGCTGCTCTGATCAACAGTTGTATAATACCGGGGTGTTTGTAGTGCCATGTCGCGCGTGGAAAGGTGTCCCTGCAGTCACCCTCCGGTGGGCAGCCCTGAGGCCACATAATGATGCGGATTTTGCCAACTCCTCTCTGCCCGTCACGGTCAATAACTGTCTGTTTTCTCTTACCTCAGGCCTTCTCATCTTTGGTGTATAAATCCAACATGAGTTACAAAACCGAAAGATTTACCCTAAACCAGCATCTCAGAAACCACCTAAACCCCTCAACATTTCATTCTCCAACATCCGGGGCATTAGAACAAACTTCTACAGTCTGGAATCCTTCCTCACTGCAAACGGCCCGATGTAGAAACTCTCTATGGAGACAAACCTTGTCTCATCTATCCCCTCTTCTGATCTCTCGATCCCCGGCTATCTTCCTCTCCTCAGAAAAAGACTCTCTAACCCACATGCACGGTCTTGGTGTCTACGTCAAGGAACATCTCCCCCTGACCAGAGAGTCCTCTCTTGAATCGCCTGACCAGTCATACATGTGTCTCCGTCTCTCTCTTCTCAATGCGGTAAGCTATCTCTTCTTCCTTTACCGCTCTCCATCCTCTCAAGACTGTGAGATACTTGATAGCATTTCTGACAACATAGACAAGGCTCTCTCCCTCCACCCGTTTGCTCACATTTTTTTTTGTGTTTGGAGACTTTAACGCCCATCACACTCTGTGGCTTAAGAATGCTACTACTGACCATGCAGGCATTCAAACGCTTAATTTTTTTCAATCTCCCATTCCCTCACACAGATAGTTAACTTCCCCACTCGTTTTGCCCTCAACCGGGTAAGTAAAGCCTCTCTACTCGACCTGTGCTTTACCTCCATCCCCGAATCCTGCAGCGCCTCGCAACTATGCCCACTTGGTAACTCTGACCATGCAGTAGTATCGGTTAACATCTCCTTTAACTCCTCCTCCTATAAAGAACCTCCTACCACTAGAACTTCGTTCTATTATCAACGAGCTGACTGGGACGCGTTCCGTGATTTCCTCCGCGATGTCCCCTGGGATGGAGTCTTTAAGCTCCCCGTCCAAGAATGTGCTTCTGAGGTCTCTTCCTGGGTTAAAGCTGGAATCGACGCTTTCATCCCATCAAGGAAATATAGGGTTAAGACGCGCTCCTGCCCCTTGGTTTCGGCTGCTTGCTCAGCCGCCATCGCCCATAGGAACCACTACTTCCACCTATACCGTAGCGACATGTCTGACTGCAATAGACGTCTCTTTGCCGCCGCCCGTAACGATTGTAAGCGTGTCCTAAATGATGCTAAGTCACTATTTGCGGCTCGAATGAAGGAACGTATTGCATCTCGCAAATTTGGCTCCAAAGATTATTGGCGTCTCTGCAAAGAGTGTATTGAATAAGTGCAAACCCTCTATACCTCCTCTATTCAACCAGTTCGAAGTCTTGACCTCCTCTACCGACAAGGCTGAATGCTTTGCTCGGAAATTTTCATCCAACTCGACGCTCGACTCTTCTGGTGTACCCATACCCGACTTTCCTCTTAGAACTGAGGCCATATTGAGTGGGTTAAACATAACCTCAACCTTGGTACTGGGCGTTATCTCCAATTTAGATCTCAACAAGGCGAGTGGTGGAGATGGGATACCAGCCATTGTCTTAAAAAATGCGCGCCTGAACTGGCGCCCGCCCTTTCGAAACTATACAACTACTGCCTCAAGGAATCTTGTTTTCCTGACTGCTGGAAGTCCTCTTCGATTGTTCCTGTCTTCAAGAACTCCGGCGACCCCTCTGACCCTTCCAACTACCGTCCTATCAGTCTCCTTCCCCTTCGGCAAAATCTTCGAAGCTCTAATCAATACCGGAGTGGTTAACCACCTCATCCAATAATCTGCTCTCAGACAAACAATATGGTTTCCGCTTTGCCAGATCTACAGACGATGTGCTCACAGCCATCACGGAAACAGTCTACCGAACTCTCCAAAATAACGGGAAGCCCGAGCCGTGGCACTAGATATCTCCAAAGCATTTGATAGGGTTTGGCACGCCGGCCTTCTCCGCAAGATCCAGGGTTATGGCATTACGGGTCAATTATATAACGTAATACAATCATTCCTGTCAAACCGTGAATTGAAGGTCGTTCACAACGGATTCTCCTCCAGTTCCTACCCCACGAACGCAAGAGTTCCTCAAGGCTCCATCCTAGGCCCCACTCTATTCCTTATCTATATAAATGACCTTCCTGACGCCGTAACTTCTCAAGTCGGCATCTACGCGGATGATACCACAATTTATTCCTGCCTCAAAAACAAATCCAGTCTCGCTGACAAAACTCACCTTGCCGTGCGCCTCGAAAAGGACCTCCAATCGATTGTGATCTGGGGCAAGATTTGGCTGGTCAACTTCAACGCTTCGAAGACTAAACTGCTCTCTATTAATCACCACAGAGCCTTCCTTCCCTCCATTATAATGTCTGACGCTCAACTTCCCGAGAGCAACTCTCTGCGGCTTCTCGGTCTCACGTTGACTGCTGACCTGAGATGGAATAAATACATCGAGTCAATTGCCTCGTCCACTGCGAGGAAAGTTAGCTCCCTGAGCCGTGCTAGGAAGTTTTTCTCCCCTGAGTCGATCCTCCAGATATACAAATCCACAATTCGCCCTTGCATGGAGTATTGCTGCCATATATGGTCTGGCGCCCCTTCTGTTTGCCTCAGGGTTCTTGATAGGCTCCAGAGGCGGATATATGTAATATGGTTGGCCCTACCCTGGCGTCTCGTCTACAGTCACTTTCTCACAGACGCACCGTCGCCTCCCTCTGTCTGTTCTACAAATACTTTCATGGAAATTGCTCCGAGGAACTGCATTCGCTGGTTCCCAAACTTCATGAGTTCAAGCGCCCCTACGAGGCTGGCATCCCGCTCTCACCCCTTCACTGTCGAAACTCATAAATGTAGCCGTCTCTACTACTCTAATAGCTTCATGTCTCGCACCTCTCGCCTGTGGAACTCTCTTCCCTTCTCCTGTTTCCCTGAGAGTTATAATCTCCAGCTATTCAAGTGTAATGTCAATCGACATCTCCAGTTGCCTTAATCTATCTACTACCCTCATCCTTTCTTCTATCACTCCTATCTGATCTTCCTATTTTCTGTAACCCCTTGCGTCCTAGTGGCTCCCCGCCTTGCTTGGGGTGAAATGCTTAAAAAAAAAAAAAAAAAAAATATACAAATTAAATATCCTGTATTCCAAAATCCAAAACAATCTGAAAACCGAAACATTTCCGGTCCCAAGAATTTCGGATAAAGAGTTCTCAACCTGCATTATGAAACAAATTTTATACGAGATAGTACAAATATTTAAATGAAGGAAATTTATTTGACATCAAAATTCCG